TGGCCTCTGTGAGCGGTGTGGGTCCTGACGTGTGAGAAGTATAATGTTAAGAAGGATTGAAAACTTATGTGACGGTACCATCCCAAAATCGGTCTCCTCTAAAAAAATAAATGTTGGAATTTTTCATCATGCAAAACTTGTTCAATCAAATATCTATTTTTGAGCATAAGAAAAGATTTTCAAGATCGCTTCTCCTTCTTGATGTGCTTCATCATGATAGATACTGCTCTTCAATCTATATCCATTGCAAGTGCCGCTTACCTTGAAGTTTTCACTTGCGGTATAAATTTCTGTCCTTTTGTGCTCTTTCTTCCTTTCCATTCTATTAAGGTGGTCGGAAAGTTATAGAACAGCCTGCTTTTTTCTACATTTCAAGAACATTTGTTTCAATCAAAACAAGCAGGCTGCAACACAAGCTTCGTTTAAGTAAGCGACGTCCGCTTATAATTCTGTTAACGCGCTACCGCTCTTCTCTCACAATTTTTGACGTGACTCCTCGAAGAACTCAGACAGGATCTTTTAACATTTTTGTCTTGCGCTGACATACCGTAAAATCATGACACAGATGACATAACATCCGAAAAGCTCTTCAAGCTCTTTCGAACGATATACCGGGATGCATTCGGAAATTCTTTTTGTTTAAAAAAGGTAGAAAACTTGATAAATGCGGTTTTTGGCGCAACAAAAGGCCAAAAAATTATGTTTTAGCTTATATGTTCCAAAGACGTACGAAAGTTGTTGTAAGTAGATAGATACAACACCACTCAGAATGTGCGAAATTTCCGTGAATAGTGCGGAATTTCGGGAACCGCGGGAGTCCGCGACATCCCCGGAATTTCGCGGAATCACGCGAATCACGCAGAATATGCAGCGTCTTTACTTCCTTCGGAATGAATATGTTCTGAATCCGGAAGCAACACTGCGTTCAGTTCGTCAAGGCGAATCTTTTGGTTCATAGAATGTCCTTGATTTTCCGATTTCAGTATTCTTGAGTCTTTTTGCCGACGTCTCTTCGTAAAGTTGTAAAGCAGCGCTTATTGCCCCTAGTAAATTACAGCAAGGATCTTTCGATAGTACTTCCTCTGTAGATTATGAAGCGCAAAAAAAACAGCTGCAGACTTCTTTATGGAAGGGCTAGTGAATACTGGAAAAATCATGTCGTTCTGAATTTTAGTCACCATAACCCTAAAATATGAAGCTCTCTTGCTAAGCAAATTTTTAGTATCAGTAGGTCGGATAACCTCTATGAGCAAATTTCCCGAGATGTTCGGTTATTTCATTTTTTTCTCGTTTTACTTTCTGACGCTCGCCAATGGATTTTGTGAAAATGCTGATGGTCTTGGATTTTAAGAAAACTTCGCTTATAGAGGTTTTCGGACATGCTGTTTACGAAAATTGTGCTTTTGGCGGAATACAGGGCCATTTTGCAGAGATATGGGGAGGTAACTGTAACTGAGTCACGAAAGTTCGTGAATTCGTCTGCACTTCTCGCGTTCTGTCAGAACTGCTTTTATGGGTTAAACTTTCTAGGAAGTGTGCCATCGAATGACGCAAGTCTCAGGCTCCAGTCTTCAAAAATCGCCGAGTTACGAGCTCACGAAAACACGTTCTCATGAATTTTGCCCAAAATGTAAAGATCGCATACTTCGTCGAAATTCCATCGAGTGGTTGCATAACGCGCTGATCAAATCTGTTCACATCGCCCAATGGTTCTTCTTGTGTTGGGTTTAATAGTTAGATAGACCTGAGCTCTAGCTACGAAACTGCTTTGATATTCAGTTAAGCAGCTGAAGCACACTCACCCACCATATTCAATATAATGGGATTCCCTGGGCGAAGTGAACTATTTGCAATCAGAATGTCATAGAACCACTCATGGTGGGGTTTCGACAAAGTAAGCGATCCTTACATTTTGGACAAGGTTCGTGAGGAAGCGTTTCTGTAGGCTCGTAACTCGGCGACTTTGTCTCAGCCTGAGACATGCACCATTCGATGGCAAAGTTCCTAGTAGCTTTAACTCGTAATAGCAAGCAGGCAAGTTTTCTGACAGATACGCGAGAAGTGCAGTCGAATTTACGAATTTTCGACTCAGTTAAGTCAACTCACCATATTTCTACAAAAAAAATCCCGTACTCCTCGAAGACCGCATTTTTCGTGAACAGCGTGCCTGAAAACCTCTATAAGCGAAGTTTTCTTACAATCCAAGATCATCAACATTTTCACATTCATCGGCGAGCGTCAGAGCGTACGAGAAAAAAAAATAAATATCCGAACATCTTGGAAAACTTGCTCATAGAGGTTACCACCTGCTGGTTACAAAAATCACATCTGCTTAGCAGGCGAGCTTCATATTTTAGGGTCATGGTGAGTAAGATTTAGAACGATATGATTTTTTTCAGATCACTAGGCCTTTTATTTCCTTTGGAAAAAAGTGAGCGGCCACCTTTTAGCGCTTTATAATCTAAAGAAGAAGTACTATCGAAAGGTTCTTCCTGTAATCTACTGGGCAATGAGCGCTGCTTTACAATTTTACCAAGAGACGTCCGCAGAAGAATTTGAGAGAATTAGAAACGGAATATTGAGAACATGCTGCATACCAAAAGATTCTCCTTGACGAACTGAACACATTGCTGCTTTCTGATTCAAAATATATTCATTCTCAAGGAAGTCATGGCGCTGCGAATTGCGCGAAATTCCTGGAATGTCGCGGAGTTCCGCGGAATTTTCGGGGTTCCGAGCTGTATCGGATGGTAGCCGGAAAACTTGCGTTTACTTGCAAAGACGTAAATTATAAATGTATATATGTCCCGACTCAAAGCGTTGATATCAGCAAACTGTCGTAAATTGAACGACTGTTTCTTCATCCATTACAGAGTGGTACTCTGGATGATTTTACGCGCTTGACTATGCGTATACTACTGAAAGATCATAATTTGTGGAAGTGATTGACTTCGCTTTTCAATAAGTTCAGTACAGTCGAGTAGATTTAGCGGTAAATATTGCTTGCACAGAAGTGAAATGCGGTAAAATTGGCGCGTGAAGAAATAGCTTCGACTGTGACGCCGGCCAATCGCGCGCGCAAAATACCCGCAGTACTGGCGTGGCTACTTGTTCACGCGCAAATTTCCCCGCATTTCACCTTCTGTGCAAGCACACTATATTTACCGCTAAATCTACTCGACTATATTTATTTGACATGTAAATGGCCTTATATAGATATTAACTGAAATAGAATAATATGTCTGACATCTAACAAAATTGGAACATCCAATGAGTCCTCCTTCCTAAGAAAATTGTAGTTATTCTCCAAGTGCCCCATTACCACCACCCTAATATGTATATACCCAAATGCATTCTGCCTGTATAATCTTATTTCACTCATGATTATTTCGGCCAAAATTGAACAAGCTAAAAAATCATCACCACATTCTGCATTCTTATTAGAACTCGTAATTTTCTGTATGTGTCGCTAAGTGTCAGAGGCCGTAAAATTATCGAAAGTCAAAAGGAGACCTTTTTGAAAGGCTAGAAATCAAGCATTGCCGGATCTTGGTCTTGTATGTCTTAAGGCGCGGATTTTGGCAACAGTTCTGCAAATTTGCATCAAAATACCTCCAATTAAAATTATGTTCAAACTGCCAACTCATGAGCTATAGCAGAAGGCCACAGAGATGCTGGATTTCGGAAAAATTAGAATCATAAAAGGAATAATTGCGTAAAAGTGTTTAAAAAGCATGTGTTCGGTTTGGCTTGCTACACTTCGTAATTTTCTCAGTTTTCTATGCCGTGAAACTCAGCAGTGGTTACCTCATATTCCTACCTAACGAACGCACGCGCAGCATCCTGCTAACAAGGGAAAGGCCAGAAATCGAAGCGGCCAATCTAAACAAGCTGCAGACCATTAGATGCAGCATAAAACGCCGAATTCCGAGTCTGGCTTCCATATCAGTTTAGAGCTTTTGTGGACGAAATTAAGCAGTTTTATTGCAAAGAATACACAAAATTTGCGAAATTGAGCACATTTGCACTTCAGCTCAGGCTTTCTTGATATAAAGTAACCTAGCTGCATCTTTTGGCCTAGCACTGAACCGAACGTAGCTCTGCACAGCCAAATTTGCGCTTTGCATGCACGATTTTTTCAAAACGGCCTTCAACGGCTCATCTTCGCCCACAAAAGCCCTAAGCATATATGGAATACAGATTCGAAATCCGAGTTGAATGCTGCATCGAATGGTAGGCAGCTTAGTTGGATTGGCCGCTACGACTTCTGGCCATTCCCCTGTAAAATCTAGTGGTAAATTACTGAAGTTTTTCTCTGCCTTTCTGACGACGCAAAAAAAGTGGGCCTTACGACCATCTATCTGCTAGAAGGGCATCATCGAATCTTTTCCGATACCACCTTTGAAAATGTTCAACATAGAAGTCTCATCGTTGTAAGTGTTAATTAAAAGGGAATAAGAGGTGTCACACGATGATGATTTACTGAAGAGGGGTTCTTTGAACTGCGGCTTCAGCTTGGAACTATTGGTGAAAACTCTGACGTTTGCACGGACGCACATCGTACAACGAACACCCAAATTTAATTTTCACACGCGGCGTGATGGCGTTTCGAAACTCGGCTGCAAATAAAATGGGAAAGAATTTCTTTGTAAGTCTTGCTGAGGTGTGTGACATTGCGGCCGATTTTGCTTTTTTACGGCAAACAGAGCTATCTTATCGGTGTTCGATAAAAAAAATTTGCCACGGACAGCTCTTGCTTTATACATATTTTGTGCCCCTCATTGTGGAATCAACTATCATCGGCTCCCAGATTCGTATGGAGGCGGGTTTGCGGACTTCTCTGATTTGCAGGATAAACTTTCCAAACCTCCACGTTATAGCATTGTATTTCGTACTCTTTCGTTGAGCTTATCCTTAAAATCGGAAAAATCCGCAACCCGCCTCCATTGCTTACGTATTCATTTCTCACACTATATTTCGAAGTATTCAGGTTATTCGCCATGTACTTTTTGTGCTTGACTTTCGTTACGATCATCTCGTTGTCTACCTCTTACAAATACCTAGTTTATAGCCCTTTTTTGGGCTATAGTCATGTGAACCTTCTCGGCAATTTGGCAGACGTCTTGACCGAAGGAGGGCATGATGTGGTGATTTAATAGCTCAAAAAATTGTAAGGTTTCAAATTTCGATTTTGTTGAGACAGTATTGATGCCTGAGGTCGATGAGGAGCAGCTCAATCACACGGGTACCGAGTTGACCAAGAAAATAATACGCGTTCGCGGCGATTTTCGCACTGTAGAGGTAACTGACTCAGCGCTCCGTCAATGTTTAAAAAAACCTTGACGGTTGATAACTCTTCTTTTCCCGTTTTCTCCATGCCACAATCATTTCTGTTGTGCAAAATGAATTACTTAGCCATTGCCACTCGGTTAGAGAAAAGAGCTATACATGATGAAGAAGCGTCCCGAAAAATGAACTGATCTTGATTCATCAGGGTGATTCAAAGTAAGGGGCACCTTGATTTTTTGAGCATTTTTTAAGGTCTCCTGATTGACTACGAACGTCGAGGTATTTGACGCTTTTGTATAAAGTTTTCTTTGCAGGTTATCCTGCATCTTGAGCATCTCATCTATGTACAACACTTCGAGCGGCGCTTTGAAGAAGTCAGACAGACCTCCAAATTTGTGCTGCTGTATCTAAAATTCCTTAGACATTTCAGAGGCTTCCAAACTGTACACATTACTTAAATCTACAAAAATTCTCCATTATTTCGTATAAAAGAGGCACTTTATTCGAAAAAATAGCGTTTGACGCACATTTCCAGGCTTAAAATCAGGTTTTGGCTCACAATTTTTTTAAGATGGGAAAAGTCGATGTGAATTGCCTATGAATGAATAAAGCGTAAAAAGTTTTATCAGATAGCAACTGCCAAGGGTGAGCGCATTTGATTACCTTAGTGACAGAATAGATAATATGTCTCTTAATATACTACGCTATAAATTCTGTTCTAACATTTTGACTACTAGGCCATCGTGGATTTGATGACAGTCCCCTCACCCATGCTGCGTAGAAACATATCTTTGGTAGGCTCACTTGTTTTGCTGCGGTGCTGCTCAAAGTTCAAGATTACTCAAAATGAGGAGCTTTCATTTTAAGCGCCCATGAAAGTAGGGCCATGTGACAGTGCGCATCTATAACCTCGCAATTTTGTTATGTACCAACATCTGCCAAAACTTGGACTTCAATTAGGTTTTTTTTGTTTTAGAAAACTGCATTTATTCTCCAGGCCCCATTACTTCTGGATCACCCTGATACTTCCAAAGTGGAATGAATTGATTGCTTTCACTGTTATTCTACAAAAATCAAGCTCTGGCTGATTCTCCACTTGCTTTTTGACTAATTAAGGCCATATTTCGGGACATCTAGTAAGAAGGTCAGAAAGAGTTATGGATTGTCAACAGTGGATACTTATAATGAACCCTATGACCGCGCAGCAAAAACTTTGTATTTAGATGATAAAAGAGAGCAAGAAAAGCGAAGTTTTCAATATGTGGACAATCAGTGCCTCCCCTTCAATTATATGGCAGGTAGGTTATCTACAAATCCGAATTTGTTGAAAATGCGCAGCAGAAAAATGTTTGCAGTGTTTTTTCTGGGAATCCCTACATTTGCTGAGAGTAGTGACCGAACTGAAAGACACATGATTCCGATCATGCATATATCTGTAGCTTAACCTCTCTCGTTCTGCAACCATCAACTTCAGTTCTGACACTGTCATACAAGGATTTTATAGAACTCAGTGTCTCTTTTGAATATCTTCCGGGAAAGTATTCTGCATTCTTATTTAAATGTTATATCAAATATCTCGTAACTCTTTGATTTTTACAGCTTTTCGTGCTTTCTTCAAATGCAATCGAGTTCCTGTAAACAACAGCGAAGAGGTTGCATATTGCGCCAACGACTTGTTTCTACTTGTAAATGATTAGAACTTTCAAGAGTTTCAAAAATTATTTGTCTTGTAAAAATTTTGGGAACCATCCGAAGAAATTTTTTGGAATGAGTGGCCACGCCACGCAATCCAGAAAAACATATTTGTTGCCCTTTCTCCTTCTCCGACTTATCCTCGGTATGCCACTGTGGAATATCCAGTAGTTTTCGAAAGTTAGTTGAAGTCCGTACTTACCTCCTAATTTGTCAGAAAAGTCACCGAAGCCACACTTCACTGGAGTCTACTGAGATCCGCATCGCATCGCTGGTTCAGAGTAAATGAAATCTGGTGCCGTTTGACATGGTAGGCGGCCAGATTTCACGGAACTTTTTCAGTTTTTGCCTATTATAGGTTACCGAGCATGCAATGAATGAGCATAATGATTACCCACCGTAAGCGAGATTTTAGAAAGGTTTGTGAAATATGACCGCCAACTGTATCCAAAGAAGCGACAATGAATTGAGGATGCGCCTCACAAAGCCGAATGAAACGGTGCGCTTGCATACAGAATTCGCCCTCTTTAAACTAAGACATGGCGATGCGACGTGGATTTTGGACGATGGATTCCGAATTTTTCGACGAATCATGAGCATACTCAACCGTCTTTTTGATGCACTCTGGTCCGAGGCATAGGCCATACTTACACACTTTATACACTTCATCTGCATCGAAAAAATGTTAGTGATACCGCTTTTCTATTCAAAACAGATGAGTGGATAAATAAGGCTCGTATCCTTCATATAAAGTTTTACATCACGAATGGAGCATATCAATTCCATTTTTGATGTTACTCGCAGCGAGAGGAAAGTCTGTAACTACTAAGGGGAGCTTTATTTACGACTGAATTTTGAAAACCAATGAATTGGTTGGATAATGAATCCTTTCCCAATGAACCATTCAAGCTTACAAAACTACGTGGTAAAGAGCACACTTTTGTTACAGATGACAAAAAATATGACCGACATGCTGAAATATCAGTGCGAAAGTAAGCAACAACTACTCCTCTTCTGAAGATTTAACACATGTCTGCAGCTCTCATAAATAACGAGCATTTGCTACAGTCACTGCGAGAAGAGAAGTTTGATGTTGGGATAGCGGAAGCTTACTATGTATGCGGACTGGGTCAGTTTTGCTGACGGCAAGTTTTGGGCTATGAAGCTCAGGTTTTATCTATTTGGGTTTCCCATGATTTTTTTTCCGTTTCTACGTTCTCCCTGAAGATCCAAATCGTCTAGCTCCTCAAATAAGTTCTGCGGTATCATTGGATAGAATGCTAGCTCTACAAGATCACCCAAACTTTTGCACGAAGTTTGTTCTATATAAAGTTCGAAGCTGGAATCTAAGGAGATCTGCCCGAAAATTCGATAAAAATTTGTATCACTGTTCAGAAAATTACGGAATTCCTACTTTTCATTCGTTTATTATCCACATCCGGCATTTATATATACAATTGCTTATTTTTTCCTTTGCTAATAATGGAGAAAAATAATTCACATGTTTTTGCTAAAGCTGCACTGGGCTGCCACAGGCTGCTCTCTAGGTGAGCAGCCTGTGGCATGGACGGACAATTTTAGCGCAAGAGGTTGAGATTTCAACACGAAAAATGCTAGAGGCCGCGTTGATCTACGCCGGAAATCCGAGCATGAACAACAAAAATGAGGGCGTGACGATAACGAATGATCTCTAGCCTCTTATGTTACTATGTGACCTTAAACCGCATAGTATATATAGTCCTTGGCTCAATGAGCAACCTCAGTGATGTCCGTCACATCAGTGCGGACTACTGACTTCAAGGTGGATTAGAGGTTGGTGAATCCATTTCGGATTGTTTCTCGGCAAGTTGCGCCCAGAAGAGGTTCAAACGACGGAAGTCTGATGGGGCGTTTGGTGGTATAGACTAACAGATAATATCACCGCAATTCCTTTTCAGACCTCCGAAGAAGACGATATTAGTCGGAACGTAAGGTCAATAAAGATCCACCACAAACCTGGTCGGTAGAAGAACAATACACGATATCCGATACAACATGCCCAGGTTTAGAGAAGAGAGCACGTGGAAAATATGTTTTTTTGAGTTCTAGCCATGGAGAAAACACAAATTTACAAATAAATTCCAGATTTGGAGAGTATATGCGTGGACAGGTAAGAAGTTGTAGGACTTCTTAGACGAAGATGACTTTTTTCTCGAGTTTTCGGACACTTGGAACTTTTCAAATTTCGGCTTCGAGTCTCATGTGAAACAAACCATAAGCAGATATTAAGTTATGGCTTTGTAGAGCTTGCTTTGCTGTGTCGAAGGGTACCACGGAACCTATTTAAAAGGCAAAAGTAATATGAATTATTGCGAGAGAAAGCAAAACGGTAGACAACTATGGGACACTCTGATAGTTAGCTAAAAATACCTGGATTCTTTTAGATTTAATGATTTGTTTTCTTTGAGTCTTTGCTTTCAGCACTTTTCGAATTATTGAATATCAAGACTACAATTGCCATGTTAAGCAACATTCATCTTGAATCCGCGATATATGCAATTGGAGAACCTGCGTTTCCGAGCTACGTGCCAGGTTTGCAGTGGAATTCATTCACTACATACAGTAGTGATGCTGAGACAGAAGAGTGAAAAAATAATTTGGTAAAAATAGCTTTTGATGTTCCGCTCAAGTTTGGATAGAAAATAAATCAGTAGCGCAAACGTTACAAATGAAGTAAACCTTTATGATCAGGAATAAAAAGCAAATTTCTTAGCTCTCTATATTTTCTTGCAGGGTCTCATGTTTCGGAAAACGAATTTTGATTGCAGTTAGTGTGAACTACCTCAAATATTTTCGATAACCAAAGAGATGGCAAAAAAAACGACTTCTCTTGTCGCATATTTGTACATGCACATTTTCAAAACGTACTAAACAATAAAACTTTGCTTTAGCCCTTGTTTTGGGCCCTTCAATTATCTAACAATTATCTGAACATGCATAGAATGCAGTAACATGCTATAAGTCCCTTGCCTTGATCACAATTACTCTCATGTGCAATTTTATTTTCAGGACTTATGAGCACTGCAGGAGACCAAATGACTTTTTCTCAAAGGATGCAAAACGCTCTTTCATTGATTTTTAGTAGAATGGTATCCAGCTGGGTGAATGAAAACGAAATTGATATGATAAGACAAAAATGTGGTAGTTTCAAGGACCATTACGTAAGTTCTGTTGTTATGCACGATTCTGCTACCATATACTAGCCAACAATGAGATGGCGTTCAATTTTTAAGGCCCACATTCTTCCTTCTCACGTCTCAGCAGTTCTATTTACAGGAACTGATAGCACAGACGTCGTTCATTTTCACAAGAAGTAATCCATATCTGGATTTTCCACGTCCAACATTGCATAAAACCGTTATGATAGGAGGCTTTGCCACTAATAGAAAACTGCAAAAGAAACACCTTTTGACTGAGGTAGAATGATGCATTTTTTATTATGACCGTCACACTGCTTGTTACTAGACCATACCCAAAATTGTTCGTCGCCTACATTTTTCGAGATTGCAATTATTGTGGTCCGTCCTCAATTGAAATATCAGGTTGATTCATATTGAAGCGCGTTTATGTTGCCTCTATTTCCGAGCGCCGGTTTTTCAAGGAATTTTCCGGTAACGTTTGGTGCTATCTGAAAGGGCGTTCATTCTAGTTTCTTGTATATGCTTTCTTCTTCGTGGAACTGTGTATAATACCAAGTTCGACGCTCTCAAAAGTCAGAGACGAAAGCTTAAAATTCTTTCTTTTTATTCGTTTTGCTAATTCCATGAAAACAAACCATATTCATCTCGAGAAATATGCATAACAATTGCGAAGCTCTCTGGTATAATATCTCTGAGGTTCTTGGAAAAATTCTAAGCCGAGAGACTTTAACGCAAACTTGACCGATCATTGTGGCCCTTCATGGTCGTATACAGGGTGTCCCAAAAGTATGTATCGAACGTTTGATCGTTAATAACTCTCTTCCCAAGAAGTCTTTTGCCTTGCTTCAGGTACCGTTTTGTAGAGCTGGCTTCAACTTAGATTTGCAGTATAGAACGAATCACTCATTTCTCTTCATTACTGTAGGATTACGGTAGAAACTTCAAGGAGGGTTTTAAGCAATGAAAGGCCATATTTTGCCCCAGAAAGGAAACAAAACAGCCTTAAAACTTTTACACTAGGCTAATTAGAGTTGCTGATTATAACTGTAAAGTTCCCAACTTATTATGATGCTTCATTGAAGAGTTATGCCAGGTAAGAAGTAGCGGCCATTTTTTCAATGTTCCTAAAAAGTGGGATTGCACCGTTTAGAAAGCTTCGTAATCTTGTGAATAGTTAATTATTGAACTCAGCTCCATAAAAACCCTATTACACAAGTTTTCACGATTTTTGAAAAATTTTGAAACGGCAGCTTTTTTCACATTAACACCATATGTTTCAAGTTTCTACCGTAATCCTACAGTAATGAAGAGAGATGAATGATTCGTTCTATAGCGCAAATCTAAGTTGAAGCCAGCTCTACAAAACGGTACCTTAAGCAAGGCAAAAGACTTCTTGGGAAGAGAGTTATTAACGATCAAACGTTCGATGCATACTTTTGGGACACCCTGTATAATTTAAAGCAAGAACCATTGGCTGAGATTTTGCCTTGTACAGCAAAAGGTACATAGCACCCTGAGTGATACGAAAAAGATGAAAGTTTTCAGCTTTTTGTTGGCGAAAAAGATTAGAAATTCTTTCGAAAAAAAGCAATTTTTCGCTCCTTCCAGAATGAAACACAACATTTTCGGTTTTTTTGCGGTATCTCCTCGTAAAGACTTTCTTAAAATCCGGGTTTATTGCCACTGCTCTCTTGACCACAGTCTACAGAATGAGCAGGGTTTGCGCTAGTCCTACATTTCAGTGTAATTTATGCTTTCTCAAATTAGAGGTTTCTAAAAAAATCCATGGCATTCCTTGAATTAAACAAACTTTCTCGTAATCAATATAGGCAAACAAAAGTAGATAACAGATGATTCGGTGATGTGGGAAAAGAACTACGGCGCTTCAGATTGTTAAAAAATGTGCATTATTTGCGAATCAATCTAATGGTTTAGCTGTGCTATTCGGCGTGATGTGAAAAAAATAGGCCAAAATTTTGCTAGCAACAAACATTTGCAAGTTTTTTCTTATGGAACAACTCTGTAGCAATGCTCATTATTTTGAGTTTCATAAGAGGCAACATAGTTAATGACAAAAGTGAACGATATATTAAAGTATACATGTTTGCTGAGCAAATTTTTCTAATGTTTCTAGCATAAAACCATAAAAAGACCTCACGTTCTTATGTGCAGTTGTCAATTCAGGAGTTCACTGACTTTTTGGACAAACACAACCATACAGTTTTGTTGTCATTCGGCACAGTTGTGAAGTCTAAAGACATGCCAGAAAGTTACAAGTAAGTAAAGCTCCCTTTCTTTCATATCAGGTGGGCCCGAAAATTCGTGCCGTTTTTTAGACCTACCCTCTAATCATTCAGAATAAAGTTCGGTGAAACTCTGGAAGTGTTCTATGCAGAATTTCCTTCTTTTTTTCAGCAGTGATATTTTAATCGGACCTTCAATGTTCATTTGAATAAACGCCACAATCTCCAACCCATGCATTTTACATGCCCTAACTTTGACTAATTTTTTAAATTTTCGTTTTGGGCTTTTGAGAAAGCTTTGATAACATTTGTATAGAGTAAACAAAGTGCTACAAAAACAGGTTTTTACCATCAAGCTGGCTTTTCAGTATTTTTAGAGACAAATTTTCCAAAAGTTTTTACATCTGCGAAGTCGTAAAATATGCAAACGCCTCTGATACTGATGAATCTTGCAATTTGAAGCTTCCAAAACAGCTTATGACTTAACGCTATTTTTAGCAATCAACTGAGTTAGCGGTTTGAAATAGTGAATTATGATTTGTTGGGTACAACCTGGGATGAGCCTAAAAATAAGAATCATAATGATTTTATCCTCAAATATAACACGAATCACGAATGAAAGAGGCTTATCAGAAAGAAGAGAAAAAGCCGCATCGACTGACGTCCTGGCTGCTTGCAGTTTATTGTTCTATGAGGATTGGGATGCCAAAATATCGAAATTGATAGCGTCGAAAAAACTTCCTAAGAATTTTGGGAAGCCAGCTAGAGAAGGCAAAAAATTGTATTGTAGTGAGTATTGTTTATTCTATCCAACTGTTACTGAAGCATTTGCAAAAGTCCAGAATGAAAAATAAAATAAATAGCAAAATTTATGGTAGGTAAAAACCATGGATCGAAAATTCTGAATTTTCCAAGCGAGCAGCAAAGGAATCAGATCAAAAATATCACTGCTGGAGAGAGGAAGAAATTCTGCATAGAAAATTTCCAGAGTATTTGTCTATCTTCTCTGTGAATAGGTCTAAAAAGCGCCACGAATCTTCGGACCGACCTAATAAATAAAGAGGACAGATACAAAGAATAACCATTTATTATTGGAGCGAATAAGCACTTGAAAAAATATAAAGAAGAGGCATACTTCATGCTCCTTTAAGAATATCAAGAACGAGTCGAATTCAGGACTCAAAGATTCTGAAGAAGTTTTCTAGGAGAAATATTGGCATACAAAAACCCATATTTTCATTCAAACTATACTTCTAGAAGCTGGCAAAATGTAATCACAACAACCTGCATTTGCGATTGTTGGCGATATGATGAGCGAATATTCAGGTTTAAATTAGGCTTGTGAATGCATCAAAGGAAAGTAGAAAACTGGATATTATAAGTATTTGTGAAAACGAAGACATTTTAGCAAAATGTACGAAGACAGTACTTGATTCTAAATTGTCAGACATCTTGCGAAGGCGCCTTGGGCTATGCTAGATGCCCTCCACCTTCAATCCAATCGAAAAAAAAATTTTCCAGGAAAAGCATTTTAGCTGTTATTTCTTCTATGCCTGAAGTGGGCTTTATATGGAAATATGAAGATTCGGACCTTGCCTCAGCCAGAACTCTTTCGAATGTTCTTCTCATTCCATGGGTACCACAGATTGCTCTTTTGGGTAAGCAAATTCCACTCACAACATAGAGCGAGAAAAATGCACTCGTAGAGGACAAACGTTTGTCTGTCTTCGTCACTCATGGTGGTATTGGTAGTTGCAATGAATTGGCATATATGGGCAAACCGGCAATAGTTGTAAGTTCTTCAATTCGCAGAAACCTTTGCCAAAACCTATTTATGCACAACCATCACACTTTACTCAAACTAATTTCTCTCGATAATTCATGGCGATTCGTAACACCCTATTCACAAAGTCTAAGGTGTCTTCAAGCAACCAACGGTCTTGTTGTGAATTTTTACTAGTTGTGAATTATGACTAGCTAACTAGTTACCCGTGGCTCGGTCTATCAAGATAACAATAGAGCTCACCATTTCCTTTCACTTTTATACGCACCTGCAATGATGCTATTACTGCAACTTGCTATCGTGTTTTTACAGTAATGGAAGGCGATAAAAAATTCTTTTGTACAGCAAATTTAAGGTAGAGCTAGCCCTACAATACGCTTCATAAAAATTCGAAAATATATTAGAAAAGAGCTATTAGCTATCAAATGTTCGATGCATTTTTCTGGGACACCCTTATAAGATTATTATCAGGTTGGTGCAAAGTAATGAGTGTCTCAAGCTACAGCCACCGAATATCAAAAACTAGGGATATACAATGCGATTACCAAAACAGGGTCCCAGAATTTCTCAGAAGTCATGATCTACTTCAAAAAGCCAAAATCAAAAATCAGCTAATTAGTCTAGAAGTCGGATCACTGCCACAAAAGTCTTCACTCCCACCTTGTCATCATGAATAGTACAGATATAAAAATACATTAACGCGATTGCGAAATTTTTTTTTCGAGGCTGGGAGTCAAAAACAAAGATAAACTAGTACAAATGGCGAATTTTCCTGGTTTTTAACGCTAAATGTGGTTTTTTTGCTGACCGTAGCACATATAGGAGCTAGATACTCATATTCTATTTCGAAAGGTAGGCACAATTTATGTAAAATAGCTCGCGATAGAGCAAGTTTCGGACATTATTTTCTTTCAATTTTCATGGAGATAAAACATCGAATGCACAGACAAATGTTTCTGGCGTTTGTGTTATATCACATGCTAACGAAGTATATACTGCATACAAGCTGTTAGCCCCGGCCGAGGCTTCAACTAGTTTAGCTAACAGAACGTTTAAACTTAATACGCTTTTAAACTACTTCAAACATGCGCAAAAAGCGCTTTGCGAATTACCGCATCCTCCCGACTCTGAGATTGAAGGGACGCTACCGCCCCTGCTTACATGATTATGGAAGAATGATAGGTTGGAGCATGAAAATTTTTCATTTTTCTCGATTTGAGTAAACAATTCAATAGATCGATAGAAGGGCCCAGCGAATTACCGCGAAAAGCCCTTTATGCAAAGTGCGATCAACGCGGACATCTAATAATTATTTTGCAGAACATACTTTGCTCTAAAGAATAGTGTCCTGCGCATTTTTATACTAACACTGCTGCTGTAGCACCTGACATCATTACTCTTGCATCAACCTAATTTCTGAGATTCCAATCGTTGGCGATCAAATGCGAAACGCTCAAATGATGGCTCGTCATGGAGGAGCACTTGTTTTGGAGAAAGCTGATTTGGACGAGGCTGATAAATTGAGAAAAGCACTCAAGACGATAATAAGTGACCCGCGGTATGTTTAACTTTAACAGTCAAATCCGTATATATTCGAATAGTAAAATGAAGTGGTGTAAGATACACAAATTAGTATGCATTTAAACCGTTACAGGTACGCAAAGAACGCTCTTCGCCTCTCACAAATGTTACGTAATCAACCAATCGCACCAGAAGAGCTGCTACTACGGCATGCGGAATTTGCGGCAAAGTTTGTTGTACAATACTGTAAATGCTCGGCATTACAAATTGACAAATTTCCTGTGCAAGTGCTATTGGCAGTCAACAGTTACTGAGCAAATCATCATCATTAACAAATTATCAGTTCTGTTTAAAGGTTCCACACTTCTTTTGAAAGTCCTTAAATCACTCAGAATAATGATAGACGGATGCTACAAACACCAGGTGCATGAGGTCTTTGAAATCTTTCTCTTTCTAGTAGTGATGTTCTGGTTCCGAGCCCAATAGTCGCTTGAATAATCGTCAAACCAATACCCATTTTTTCTACCCCTTGTTAGCTAAAGATGAGTTTCAAGATTTTCATTTTCTACTTCTGGGAAAGCTTTGATCCTAGTTAACTAAAGGTGCAATACATTGCATCCTTTGGCCGCCATATCTGTCCTTCAAATCTTATAAATAGGATTTCGATGCTACCTTTCGTATGGTCATCCCAAACCTTATGGAAAAACATAAAACGACGAGCAACTAGGGTGTTCTTCGATGCAGTTTTTTTCTCCTTTTCTGAAACGCTTTTTTTACATAAAATATTCATCACCTGATTTTTAGCGGCTCCGAGCAATACCGATTCTTATTTTTCGACACGTCCCAGGCTATATCCGGAAGATTCGATACTTGATATTTCGAGGCATAAAAGCTCATTTGCTTTGTAAAGTTGCTATTAAATCATAATCGATTCTTGGAAGTTTCCAATTTTCAAAGATCAATCAGCGCTTGAAGCGTTTGTGTGCTTTACGATTTCGCAAAAGTGATGAATTCCGGAATTACTATTCTGAAAAATCCAGAAAAGCTTGTTGCAGATACCCAAATATCCAACCGTCATCAAAGCTCTGAAAAATTGAATTGAACAAAAGATGATTGAAGATTTCGATACAGCCAAAAAGAATCTCTAGAAACCATAGGTCAGAGATGACGATTAATCGAGAGACCATCAAAGGACCGAAACAAAAACGTCATTACGAAAGAAGACAGATTTTTCGCTTAAACAAGGTTTAAAGCATTTAGCTATCGTTATACTGAGTGATCTGAGGATACGTCTGAAAAAAGGCACAAACTTTCGGAACGATCTAATATGTAAGCAAAGAGGCGGTACTCTTTAATTCAACAGGATTGGCGGCTGGAAGGTGAGGCTTGAGGGCATGATTAAGGCCAGAGAATATTCAGAGAGCGCTTTCGCGAGAGAGATGGAGCCGCGTGGCGTGAGCGGTCGCCTTTCAGCCTCCAATCCTGTTGAATCAAAGGGTACATACTGATGAAGCGATGCGGCTACTATTGTGACAACTCTACTCACGTTCATTTAGGTTTGGACGCATCCCGAATCTCGACTCATATGGCAGGCATCTGTCTACGATGCAGTATTTTCTTTTGGACATAGCAGCACTTGCAGCTGTTGTCATAGTCATAATCTTAACAACGTTTATAATTTTGATAAGAAAATGTTGTTTCTCTCCGCATCAGAAAGCCAAGTCAGATTGACTCTGAAAAGTACAGCCCCGTTTTTTGATTGTCTGCATATACACCATAACCCATATTATTACACGTGTATAATCATAGAATTGTCGACACTCATAAGTTTTTATTGCTTTGTAAGTACTCCCCAACGCCGCATTCGCTAGAGCAAAGTGAGTTCTTGAAGATATGCTCGGACCAGGGTCTAGCACGAAATGGCATAGAGAAAATCAAAAACCGAATCCCCTTATCATTGCAGAAAATTACGAGATATTTGTAGAAGCTCGAACATGCAACGAAAAAAAGTGAATTGAAGCGAAGAAAAGATAAGAAATAATCAAACATCAGAAAGCGAGCGAAAAAGTCTGTTTTTATTAATCAAGAGCGTGAACTCATAGATAGAGCTTGATCTAAGAACAGATAAACGTTAAAAAAATTCTAGAAATTTATGTGAGGATGGGGGAGTATTGCGAAGATTCACGATTTTGTCTGATTCCGCACAACCTCAGGATGCTCCCAGGTTGCGCGGAAGCAACCTGAAGCCGAAAAACACTCAAAACTCCTCTCATTCACTTAAATTTTTATGATTTTCCGTAATTTCCTTTTGGCCATCGCCGCGGATGTACATAATAAATCTGGTGGCTCAACATAACCCACTGTTGTAAATAAACCAATTATTTATAGTTTCATTTCTATTTTTGTGCCTAAAGATTGTTTTGATACGTTGAAATCGTGTGCACACAGGTTTATGAACTGCCATGTTTGTAACGTGACTAGTAGAATATGTTAGACCTTTGAATTCGGGCTTGCTAAGAATTAGAGTAGTTGAAGTTGTTTTCTAGTATTTCAAGAATATTTGTAATATATTTATTATCGAGTGGAAACTTTACGGGTTCCCTTTTGCTTCCCCCTCAAAAACAATATCCAGCGTCTGAAAGCGCCACCTCTGCTGAGCCCTGGTTCGAACACTCGCAGCTTCGATCCACGAACTTTTAAATCAAATCTAAATAAATACAAAAAAATCGAATCCTTTCTAAAAAATTATACAAATCCCTCTTTGCTCGCGCTCTTCTACTATCACTTGAACAACTGCTGTATTTTCCTCTTGATGACTAGAGATAGAGGAACAATACATAGCTACAGTCTGCCCCAATCCCAATCAGACCAAAATTGGCATGGCGGAAGTCCGCGTCGCTAGAGTCTCGCGGTCACGCCAACGGCATGCTTGTCTGCTCCCTCTCCGACCTCCTCGCTCTCTCCGACAGCGGGCGTATGCAGCGCAAACGTCTAGCGCTGCGAGCGCTCAAATCCACGCCGACGGTTCGGCCTGATCCCGATTGGGGCAGACTGTACAAGTACGAAAAAAAATCGCTTTCCCGGGTTTTATGCTGCTGAGTCCTGATAGTAGCGCTTGAAGCTATAAATTCAATGGTATTTTTCCGAAGGTTTGCAGTGTAAAGTTTACTGCACGATGAAGGCGCAGAAGCAGTATGCAGTATCAGCTGATCGGGCGCGAACGCGACGCGCGCGTATGTTCACCGCTGTAAATTCTGCGCCTCGTGCGCTCTGAGGTCAATGAAGCCGCGTTCGCGCCATAGTTGCGATAGGGGGAGTAATGGATCTTACCCCTTCACTTTGAGGCCAAACTCCGGATGACCCCCTTCACCTGAGCTGAGATTGGTATTGTACTCTGAGAATATAAAATAAAAATCATTATTAAAAGGTTTTGCAGACTAAGTACCTCAAACATCAAGCACACTCATAAATTTACAGAAGAAACGGTATTTATGTATATTCATATTACTTATTTATAAAAAAACAGCATCTACAGAAGCACAAACTCTTCCCGAGCATTCATAAATACGTACCTGAGCGTTACAGTTCCATGAAAATTAATCAAACTTATTTCAGTAATATAACAACATTTCTTTCTTCAAAGCTACAACTCATTTGGGTATATTGCGACGGTAAGTGATGACACAAATTCAGTCGATTTGTGAAGTACATGAAATCCCTCATATTTCGCGACACAGAAGACCTAGGAAAAAGTCGACGGTATACGTCGATTCTCCATGATCTAGCTTTCGAATGGTATACAGCATGTTAGGGCTTCTTTGCTTCCCGGCTCTAGAAAGCACTTGCTCCGGTGACCGATAAAAGCCAATACATTGGTGGAGCTGGGTGGAGCAAGCTAATACAGTGCTGGCCAAAACTATAGATCCACCCTTGCAAACTGCCATAACTCATCTGCTTCTCAACGAATTGATCTGAAATTTGGTACAATTGTGTGTTTAACAAGCTAATATCAGTAATCAGGACCAATCCCCGCTTTTGTCTGATGGTTCAGGAAAAAATCAAAATTTTTGAAAAAAGGCAGGCTCGAAGGTTGGCCAAAACTATAGATCCACCTAAAATTTCTGTCCACCAAAGTAATTCTCGGCTTCCACAATCTTTGGTGCACATATATGATCAGAAGTCAAGATAACCGATTTAGTTCAGCTGTGTCATATCTTTATTAAAAACTCTTATTTGTTTTTTTCACTTCAAAATACTTTCACGCGTATTTTGTCACCGATAATGTGTTTTCAGAGGTGTTTCCGCAGTTTTCCCAACTGATTTGAAAACTATAGGACTCCATCTGTCTTATAGATGCTTAGCGAAGTGAGCATTGTAAAAAATTTGAGTTTTCGTATCTAAAGCGCACCTAACGTAGACCTCACAGCAAGCCTGCGCTCAAATTTTTGCCTTCAAAACTGGGTTTACGCTATTTTGTAAGCTCTAAATGATGTGGATACATTATTTACATAAAAAATGATAGATTGTACACTTTGCTCATGATTGTTTGCGAAGTCGCACTTTGCTTCGTAAACAAGGCATAATTTTCGCGGTTCAACGATAATGTAAGGCAATAAAATACTTATCAAGTGGTGCCTTTCCTAATTTTTCGCCACTATTAAGCTGCTAAATGAAAACGCCCTGTATTGTATGTTTCCTTCTGACTCACATGAACATTATGGTCAGAATCAAAAATAACTTCAAGGCTTATGGCTAATCAGTTTTTGCAGGACGAATTGCTCAATTAGCCTGCATGCCAGGACATGCAAATTTGCAACCATTGCATACGGACCTTCATGTGTACAAACAATGTCATTACTTCATTTCACGCTCATGAGAACATTGCAGCAAAAGTTTTAATTCATAAATTTGAGCGCAGGCCTGCGGTTAAGTCTATGTCGGATGCACTTTGGATACGAAAACTCGAATTTTTTTCTACTGCTCACACTGCTAAGCATACGCAAAGATGGCGCCCTATCACTTTCAAACCAGTCAAAAAAGTGCGGAGTCCTTTATAAAAACACATTCTCTGGAACGCAATGCGCATAAAAGTGTTTTAAAGTGAAAGAAAGCAGATAAGCGTTTCTTATAAAGGTATGACACAGCTGGAAAGCCACTGCTTTGACTTTCGACTATGTATATGCACAAAAGACTTTGAAAGCCAAGAATTATTTTAACAGACAGAAATTTTAGGTGGATCTATAGTTTTGGCCAACCTTCGAGCCTACTTTTTTCAAAATATTTGATTTTTTTCCTGAATAATCTAACAAAAGTGGGATCCGCTTTGGTCACTGATGGAAGCCTGTTGAACACAGAGCTGTACCAAATCTCAGATCAATGCGTTGAGAAGCAGATGAACTTCCAAGTCCCGTTTTCATGAAACCTGGGCATGTGTCGTAAGTTCAAATTTCTTTTGTGCCGTATAGGTTTGAGAAGAAGTCTTTATTTCTTCCAATCACGGCCTTACGTTTCGACGCCTTTCGTCTTCCTCAGAGGCCTGAATGGTTCTAAGTGTCATCCGTAATTCAGACCACCAAGCGTTTCCTCCAACTCTGCTAGTTTTCGACCTTCTCACAATCTCGCTACCAAATAAAATGTCAATGTAGAGGACATACCGGAAGACCACTGCAACTCGAGTAGTCTGCACCGGAAATAGGCAGTCGCGGCAGACGAGTGAATCATACTGTAGATACACCGAGATGGTCTACAGTTATAGATCACATAATGATACGAACGGGAGGAAGTCACTAGTTATTGATAAACACTCGTTCTTATTATTCATCTCAGGATTTTTGGTAGTAATCCAGAATGCTTCCAAAGCTATTCTAGCCGAGATCTCTGTTTCATACGCAAGAATTTTGCACTTGACATTGAAGTCTTCTCCACCGTGCTGCGCGTCTCTATGCCTGCCGAGTGCCGAGCCCAAATTTTTGCGCCTTTTATCGGCCAAGTGTTCTTTCATGCGAATACCCAAAACCCTACCCGTCTCTACTATGTATATTGTTTTGCAGTCAAGGCATTCAATTTGATAAACGACTCCCACTTTTGCACAGTCCCCAACTCTACCGTGCGGGCATACTATGCATTGCTCTGTTGTACAGTATCGGTCGTAGAGCCTATTTCGGACTAGCTGCTTTTTGATATTGTTGTTGGGGATGTTAACTAAAACAACATCATCTTGCAGCTGGGCTCGAAAATGCATTGCTGAAACGCCGCGGCGATCTTATCTGAGATGAAGGGAAGGCAGAGTGGGAGCTTGTTGGTACTGTACATATTGGTGATAACGCGTTTAACTGATGCAGGATGTGCGGACTTGACATTTATTAAGATGTTCTTAGAGCTTTCCTTGCGGTACCATTTTACCTTAACAATGCCATTGGATAAATTCACCTGTGCGTTGAGATATGGCAGCCAACCGTCTTTCGGTTTTTCACGTGTGAGTCTGATGTACTGCGACTGCTGGTTCATGATTTTGAAACACTCATCCATTTCGGACTGTGTTGATGTAATGACACAGCAGTCGTCGATGTAGCGGCAGTACATCAGAGGCGTACGACTAACACCGGTTCCTTTTTGCTCATAAAACAAATAGCGAGAACTGGCGCCAGTCTTTGGCCCATAGCTAGTCCACGTATCTGGGAATAGTATGTCCCAGACCATCTAAAGATGTTGCATTTTAGGCATTCGCTAAT